TATCCCCCCAATGAATATTAGCAATGTATTGTTGCAATAATAATAATAATTATAACTTCATAGTTTTCACATGCAGTTCCTAAACTTTGAACTTCTGTTTGCCTTATGACTTACACAGAATGAGCTGAAGATAGAATTAGATAACTTAACTGGCAGGACAGCCAAATAATAGTTTTCTCTTGCCATTGGTCCCAGTTTTCTCTTTTCACCATATAGGGTTAGAAAGCTTTGTCAAGGGCTGAACAAGGGGCTGTTGTGTAAGATGTTTCCTTAATTCATTTAGTATTCTCTGGGCTGTTTGTCCGACTTCCTGGTACTTGTTTTCCTTAAGTAGTTCATTTCCCTGAGTCACCCACCTGAGGCTGGATGGTTGTGGTGCATCTTCCCGCTCCGTGTTCACACAGGTGTTCGTTCACACAACCTTGTGGAGCACCAATTCCAAGTCCCTTCGGGAGTCTGGAGAAAGGACTTTGAGCATCCCATTTTTGAAACTGTGTAGCCACTGCAGGCCCTTGTGGGACATGTTTTTCCCCAAAGTAAAGGGCCTGATCTTGTTGATCCCAAGAGATATTGGAAAAGAGCATAAAGTGAGGAGTCCAGGGTGTTGGGTTCTAGTCCCAGCTGTGTCACATGCGTGGCCTTAGTTTCTTCATGGTGGTGTTAGGAGGATTCCGGTCAGGATGAGAGCACATGTGTGGAAGGGCTTATGAATTGCTAGGTGTAAGGATGGCAATGTTGATGGTATCAGTGTCCTTACTAACTTAGGGCCATGGGAGTTGGTAAGAGCAGAGACCCATGCTGGTGACCCTGAGGGAACCCTTTGATTGGAGCTTCCCAGGAAGGATTGCATTCAGCCATTGCATGTTGACACCCATCCATCAGTCCNGAGCTCTTAACCAACTGAGCCACTCAGCCGGCCCTTGGGCTACCATATTATTATGGTTAAAAACCAGAGGCCCAACTGCTGTGAAATAATGGGTGAATTGCTTTTTCCCTCCACACACTCAGCATTTGTGTAGTCCCAGGCCCTTCTCAGCAATCTCTGGGGGATCACCCCCCCAGCCAGCCTGCCTGTCATCCCCAGGTTCACACCTTGGCCTACAGGTCAGTCCTGCTGCAGGACTGCCCAGCCAGAGCTCCCTCTGCCCTCACACCACCCATTCTGCCCAGGCCTTTCCTCTTGGTGCCCGTGTGGGCACAGAAAAGCATGCAGAGGGTGTTTCAGCATGCATTTTCCCTGACTGCAGACCTGCTTCTGATTGATGGGGTTGAGAGCCTTGGGGCGGAGGGAAATGGCATTGTGATGGGCACGGGCCTGTACACTGGAGTGACACTGTCTCTCCCATCACATAGAAATTCTGAGTCCTCATGAGTCTTGGCTTGGGGTTGATGTTTCCAACCTTATGACTGCTGTGTCCTTGGATGGAGGCAGGGGCCAGGCATGGTCAGTCCCTCAGCCATCATGCTCTGGGGACATGTCTGCTGGTGGGTCTGACATCCAGGGAAAGCAGGGTGGTTTGACAGATCTTCTAGAGACTATTAGAACTTGGACAAGCAGGAATCATGGCTTTCTGTAGTTGGTTATCTGTCCCCTGTTGGAATCAGGGGAAGGCTGCGCTTGGTTTAACCACAGTCAGAACTTGCCTAGGGATGGGACCAGACTCTGGTATCTGTCTTGAAAGCCCCACAAAGGCTGCTTGCCAGTGCAGTGCACACGGCCAGGAAGCAGGGGAGGCCTGAAGAGAAGCAGAGCCCCTGCCTTAGCCCCAGGGGAGGCCTTCTCCACATGCCCACCATACTGCCTGGTCTCCAGGTCGCACATGAATCATGCAGCAGCTTCCAAACTGGTCTCCCTGCTTTCAGTTGGGGGTGGGGCACAAATCCCTTCCTGACATGCAAAACATAATCCTTGTTTAAAATCTTCAAAGGCCGCCTGTGGCTTAAATCAAAGATAAAGCCTGAGTATTTTAGCAGAGTACCCAGCCTCCCCCTCCATCCCATGATTTGGCCCACCTCTACCTTCAAGTCTTATTCTGGCTTCCACATTCTGTATTTCTTGTAATTCCTTGAATGTTCTCTTTTCCTCACAGCCTTTACAAATGCTGCTCTCTCTCCTAGGAATACTCTTATCAGGACTCCCCACTAAACTTGGCTAACTTTTTGAAGCCTTCTCCAGTCCCCTAGGACTAGGTTAGTGTCTCCATCTCCACTTTTCCATTTGTGCTCCGCTCTGTAGTGACACACTGGACCCTCCCCTCCCCTCCCCTCCATCCACCACAAAGCATTCATCATCTATTACAATTGCCTGTTTAACTTTAAAACAACTCAGAAGTGGACCTGTGTCTTTTCCTTTTCTGTATCCCTACTGATAAGCATGAAGTAGACCCTCAATATATGAGAGAAAGAGAAACAGGGCCCTCTGGTCCTCTTCTGTTTCTGGGGCTAGCTTGCCTCTTTCTTTCATTCTTTCTTTCCTTCCTTCCTTCCTTCCTTCCTTCCTTCCTTCCTTCCTTCCTTCCTTCCTTCCTTTTCTTTTCTTTTCCTCCCCCCTCCCTCCTCCCTCTCTCCTTCTTCCCTCCCTCCCTTCCTTTCTTCCTTCCTTCTTCCTTTTCTTTCATAACTGTTTTATTGAGATATACTCACATATCATGCAGTTCGCCTATTTAAAGTATATAACTTAATAGTTTTTAGTATGTTCAGAGTTATGCATCCATCACCACAAAATCAGTTTTAGAACATTGTCATTACACCAAAAAGCTACCTCACGCCTCTTAGCTACCAATCCCTCTGTTCTCCCCAGCCCTAGGCAACCACTAATCATTCTGCCTGTGGATTTGTCTGTTCTGAACATTACGTATAAATAGAGTCATAACAAACATGTGACCCTTTGTGATCAGCTTCTTTCACCTACCATCATGTTTTCAAGGTGCATCCAAGTTGTAGCATGTGTCTGTACTTCATTCCTTTTTATTGCTGAATAATATCCCATTGTATGGATATATACCACATTTTGTTTATCCATTCACCTGTTGATGGACATGTGTGCTATTTCCACTTTTTAGTTATTGTGAATAATGCTGCTATGAACACTGTGTAGAAGTTTTTATGTGGACATATGTTTTATTTTCTCTTGGGTATATACTTAGGCGTGGAATTGCTGGGTCATATGATAACTCTTTATCTATCTGAGGAACTGCCACACTGCTTTCCAAGATGGCTGCACCACTCACTTTACATTCCCATTAGCAGTGTGGGAGGAGTCCATTTTCAGTGGACATACTATTTGCTCTGTTCTATCTTTACTGTAAATAAGGGCTCCAGAAAAAAGTTTTAATAGCCCTTGAGAGCCATCTGATACTTTAGCAGACACTCCTCCACACTCCTCCCTGCCACCCAGATCTGCCAGAAGGGCACTGGTTTGCTGCATGATATGTAGAAGATAGCTTCTTTCTTCTTTTCGGTCCTCTGAGGAGCTTGGCCTTCAGGCCTGTGCCAGGCCTCCCACCTCAAGTCTTCTCACTCCACACCAGACCAGCATGCCTGAGCAAGCCCAGGCTCCTGTCCTCTCTGTACTGGCCATTGTTGGTTCTGCTTGACCAACTCCTGCAGCCGCTGTGAGGATTGTATGCCCAGTCATAAAAGGCGTCTCTGTGAGCTTTGGTCAGTGCGACGGCTGTAGGAATGCTATGTCGTTTTGAAGCCTTTCTTCTTTCCTTTTGTCCTCTCCCTCGTTTAAGAGGAGCCAGTTCCCTTAGAAGGAAGGGCTAAGTATAACTCTTGTCTACTAACATAAAATGAAGCCTATGCTTTGAAAAGCTCACTCTTTCAGAGGGACATCATCATCTTCCAGTGCACTGGGTCCCTTTGCTCTGCTGGTATTGAGACTCTAATCATGTGAGCCATAGCCTAACTCACTTGAGCCTTAATCCTTTTAAGNATAGCTTTGGAGTAACAGCCTCAGAACCCTCTAGGAGGCTTGTCCAGTTATGCTAACAGCTAAACCCTGGCCTGAAGGGCTGGGGTATGGGGCAAGTAGAAGGGGGGACCTGGCTTTGGAATTTTGTCCCTCTTTCTTTTGTGTGCACTATTGTGAGGTGGTTCCAGGCTGCTTGTCTGGGACCAAGTGTGGGCGGGTTTGGAGAGAACCCTTTGTCCTCTCATGAGTGAGAGTGTCTCTCACCATACCTCAGCAGTTTATCTCTGTCCCTGGGCCAGGCAGCTGGTTCCTAAATGAGGCCCAGATGAATTGGGGTGAAGCCGATTCATGAGTCCATCCCATTACTGAGGACAGCTGCCTGGACCTGTGGCCCCCACGGGTTTGGTTTCCATCTTGATCATTCATCTCTGTTTACCATCCCCCATCCCTGCCTTCCATTTCTTCCCTGAGCTGTCAGCGTCCAGCTGGATGTGTGCAAGAATGCGGCTGGGGATGGGCAGGGCTGATCCTGTCATGCAGCACTCTCTCCTTAGAGCACGGGGACCTTTAGGAGCCTGGGGCCCTGGAGGGTTGTGGGAGGGCTGAGAGAGTCAGTGTTCCACCACCTGCCCTGGTGATCAGATGTCTCCTTTGCTTTGTGTTTCCCCCTCTCAGTCCATGACTTGTTTTGTTTTGGGGAATGTGAGGAAGCACTTACAGGTACTCACCTGGCTGGTGAATCACCTCCCTGGACATTATTCTGGGAAATGCCATTTTCTCTGCTCACCCTTGACTTTGGGACAGGGAATGACCTCTTATTAGGAATTTGCCTTTGCCCTGGAACAAGGGTGGTCAAAGTGGGCCCTTTGTCCTCTGCAGCCGTGACGTTTGCCTCTCTTCCTTATCTCTCTCCCTTGCATCCATCCTTCTCTCTTTTTTCTTTTTTTTTTCCTTCTTGTGGGGGCCTTTTGCCTTTACTTGTTAATTCTGTTTGTAGCAAAGCCAGCTGAAGGCGGAGCTTCTCTCTGTGGTCTGCTTCTTACTCTCCACCTACCTCCTCTTCTGTACCCTCCACCTCCTAGAGAGAGAGAGAGAGAGACAGGAGTGCCAACTAACTACTGCTGTGACTGCTGCTGCTGCTGCCGCCACCACCGCTGCCACCCTGGTAATGTCCACATGCCCCCCAAATCAAACCCAGAGCCCAGGCCCTGCTGGTCAGGGGGAAGCTGTGTAATAATCCTGCCAGTGTTCCATTCCCAGGCCTCATGGTCGCCCAGGCAAGGCCATGGGCTCCGTGGGCTGGCTTAGACATGCCTGCCCATGGTGTAGAGCTCTAAGAGACTCTGCCTTCTTAAAATGAAGCCACAGGTGAGCTCCTACTGTATGTATGTAGACTTTTATAGCCTGCTTCTTTCTTAAATTCTGTATCATCAGCATCTTCCCATGTTATTTCGTAGTCTTCGTAATTGTCACTTTCAGTGTCTTCATAGTAGTTGAGCATGCAGTTCTATAATTAACTTAGCCGCTCTTCCATATTAGCAGGCCTGTAGGTCATTTCCACGTGCTCACTAGTGTCAATACCGAGATGAACATCTTTGAGTGTGAAGCTTGTTTTGTGTTTGCATCTTGCACATTTATGCTTCCCCAGGCTAGGTTTTCAGGTATAGGATTACGGGTTCAGAAATGGTTTAAATGTTTTTTTTGTGTGCGTTTTTTTTTAAAGGCTTTATTAGGGAATTGAGGGAGCAGGACAGCGTTGGGGAATCGGGGAAGGGGAACAGACAAGTTGCTGTCCTTTTGTTCTTCAGTCTAGTGGAGGACGTCGCTTCACTGGCCCATGTTGGTATNGTCCTGTACCACAGCACCATGCCTGTTTTCTCCAGAACCGCCTAGGCTTGGGGGATGGGGCAGGAGCAGGTAAGAGAAAGCAGCAAAAACAGATCTTGTCCACTCAGCTTGTATTATACTTCCTCTTAAAGTGGCTGAGTCCATTTCTATAAAAATAGTTTTATCAAAAAACTTTTTTTGGCCGGGCCACCTCTGGTTCAAACCATCCCATTACAAGTGCAGACTGTACTGTGAGGTAAGCCAAAAGGTGGATGACTTGGCACTTCAGTGATGATACCGTATTACAAATAGATCACCTTAGATTCATTAAAGCAGATTCTCAGGGATCTTTGCTTGTGGATACTTACAGTCAGAATTCCTGCATGTATTTGAGAATAATAATGGCTTTTTTTGGTTTCATATGTTCTGTGTGGCTTGGCTGACTTCTCCCTTCCTCCCTCCAAGTCTGAGTTAGAGTTTTCCATAACGTGTAATAGGTTTTGGCCTCTTTGGATTCCAGTAAGAGCCTGAGTGTGTTTTGGACACACCAAGGGTCGTCACAAACCCACAGCCTCTAAAGGACCCACAGAAGCCTTTGCACATCCTGATTCTTAACATTCCTCATCGGTGCTTCTTCCTCTGTATCGCTCAGGAGGCCATGATGTTTAACCATTGAAATATGGAAATACAAAAAGTCTTGCTTAGAGGAGAGCCCAGATGTCCTGCTGCTTAACAACATGTCAAAATAGAGCCACCATTATCCATTTTGCTATGTCAGGATATGGTAGAAATTTCCAAGAAAATTTTATTTTAGAAAATCTTCAGAAATGCTACCTTGGCTGTTGGAGTCGGTATTCAAGCCAGCATACCTTTGGAATACTGGACTGGTAGATGGGATAGAGCATAACAGGGTGGGCACAGGCAGATTCTAAAACACTCTCAGATTCTACGACCTCCTGGATGAGGATTTCTTGCGCAGGAGCAAGACACTTGGGAAGCAGATTCCTGAGTGGTGCAGAAAAACTGGGCTTATGTTCTTGTCAGTCACTGACTAATAATCTAGGTCGCCACAGAAGCAACACAGTATTCTCAGAGGAAGACTCTACTTTTGCTATCTGGATCTTCTCTAAGGTAATCTGAGTCTGCTTTAAAAAAAAAAAAAAAAAAGGGCAACAAGGAAAACCCTCATAAACCCCCAATTAAAAAGTTTCTGAGAATAAAAATTAGCTGTAGAAGTGTTTCTGTTTTGAGCAAGCTTTATTTTGACAAAGTCAAAGCTTACTAACCACCAGTGTGTGTTTTTTTTTCCCCCAGTCTGCCATATGTTCAGTATTTTGGAGGTGTCTCTGCTCTAAGTAAACAACAGTTTCTCACCATCAATGGATTTCCTAATAATTATTGGGGCTGGGGAGGTGAAGATGATGACATTTTTAACAGGTAATGGTCACAACTTAGATCTCCTCGTTCCCTGTCTCCCTTCACTTCCGGTTTTTCACTCAGTGCTTGGTTATTCTGCAAGGATTGGCCCTCGGGAGGGATGGAGTCCCCATGCAGCCCAGGTTTACGTGTGCCGTGTTATAGACACTGTAGGTGCTGAAGATGTCTTTAGGGAAATNGTTGGAGAAGATAAAAAAGTTCTGGAGATGAATGGTGGTGATGATTGCACAAAATGAATGTACTAAATGTACTTTAAAAATGGTTAAAATGATAAATTTTATGTTACATATATACTATAGACTGAATGTATCCCCCCAAATTTGTATGTTGAAACCTAATTCCCAATGTGATGGTATTAGTCGGAGGGGCCTTTGGGAGGTGATTAGGTTGAATGGGATTAGTGCCCTTATAAAAGAGATTCCAGAGAGCTCCTTCACCCCTTCTTTCATGTAAGGTTATAGAGAGAAAGTGTAGTCTATTAACTCCTCACCAGACATCAAATATTCTAGCATCTTGATCTTGGACTCCCCAGCCTCCAGAACTGTGAGAAATATCTGCTGTTAAAAAGTCATCCAATCTATGGTACTTTTGTTGTAGCATCCTGTATAAAATCTATATAAGATCCTGTATCTTACTATATAAGATAGTATATTTTACTATTTTTACAAAAGGAGGCTCCCTGTGGCCAAGTTTGACATTGTCCTACCCTGGAGGTGTCTGAGTGTGGTGGTGTGAGTCCAGTATCCACCTGGTGACTTTGAGAATGAGATGGGCTGGCCGTGTGGGGCATGCCAGCTGAGCACCAGTGAATCGTGGGCACTCATCTTGGTTGATGAATCCATCTTGGTGCTCTGCCCCAGAGGACTGGCTTTTCAATTGCTTCCTTTTCCCAAGACAAACATTCCTCCCTAAGGAAGCTTGATATGGCAAAGCGATGACATAGGTACAACTATCCTTTAGCTGGAGTTTGGAGTGGTGGTGGAGGGAGGCTTGGGTGGAGAAGATGGACTCAGGCAGGATCTCAGAACTGGGGGGCAAGGAGGTGCTTATTCCCAGAGTGCCCACTTGGGCATTTACTGTTGGCAGAACTAGGGGTTGAGCTAGGAAGCAATGACAAGGTGGGGCCAGATTCCACCTGGGGATGAAAACAGTCACCTAGACCAGGGGTTGGCAAACTGTGGCTCGTGAGCCACATGTGACTCTTT